ATCCTCGCACTGCAGGGGGGGCTCCCCTTTACTTCCCGGGGTAACTTCCCTGGGCCCCTCTCACCCTCCTGCCTCAAGAAACACAACCTGTTCCCCCTGGTTTTGCTCCCCGTGCTGGCTGGAGCACGCTGTGATCCACAGCAGATGCTGCAGCAGGATTTGCCTGGTGGCTTTGGTGCACTGGGTGGTGTTTAGGTGCTAACTAAATGAGCATTAGCTACTCAGGAGTCCTCAGGGGCTCTCTTTGTCCCGGGCCTTGAGCCACAGGCAACTGATGCAAAGCCAGAGGTGGAGAAGCTGGGAAGGGGATTAAGGGCAGCCCGGGCAGCAGCGGCAGTTGCCACCCGCAGTAACTGGGGTGGGAAGGTGTCCAGTGGCTGAGCAGTACTGGGCTGTGGGGCCAGCGTGGGGCTCAGGTGAAAGCCCCGGGGCTGTTATTGCAGGAAGGGGACACACAAGCTCTTCCTTCACGTCAGAAACCTTCACTGTCCAAAACATCCGTTGCATAGGATCCCGTTGAAGGGACCTTAAAGCTCCTCCAGCTCCACCCCCTGCCCCGGGCAGGGACACCTTCCACTAGAGCAGGTTGCTCCAAGCCCCTGTGTCCAACCTGCCCTTGAGCACTGCCAGGGATGGGGCAGCCACAGCTTCTCTGGGCACCCTGTGCCAGCGCCTCAGCACCCTCCCAGGGAAGAGCTTCTGCCACGATCTAACCCAAATCTACCTGAGGGGACGAACCGGGGTGAAAAGCCTGATCCATGTCCCTTTCTTGTCCTCTCACCAGAGCAAACAGGCCCATCACGTCTCTTCCCTACAGATGGATGCAACCAGTGTACAACTGCTCAGCACACACATGAGCTATTAATACCTAGAGGGGAGGATTAAAAATAACCAGCTCTGTGTTTGGTTTCTGGTGGGTAAAGGACAAGCACTGATACATGAGGAGGCTGAAGCCAGATTCCCCGTGGAGCTGAGGCCAACAGGAGGCACTGAAATTCCCCCAGTGAAACACCAGATCTGGATGGAGCCATGGCCTGCGTGAAGGGAGGACATGGAGAGCTGCATCAGCGCCTGCTCTGGATGGGTGCTGGGGACTAGGATGCTCACCCCGGCCCCCCTGCACCTACACCTGCACTACTCAGTGCCTACAAGCAGTAGTTGATGAAGCCCTAGATTAAATGCTTAGTCACTGGAGCCGATAATATGGCTTTTATCAGCTAGGACAGAAGATTAGGGTGAGAAGAGGTGATAAGCCCGGGTTCCTCTCTGCTGCCTGGCTCGGGGCTGCTGCCTCAGACGTGTGCCTGTGGCAGAACTGGACTCGTGGTGCGGGTTTGGCTCCAAGGTGGGTGTTAGGAAAGATCTCATCATCTGCTGTGGTGTGGTCTGTGAACTGCTGAGGGGTCACTGCTGAGGTGGTGTGAATGGGGGGAGAGCTGCTCCTGCCCTCACCTCGGATTGAGCGAGAAGGGTTTCCAGTGGCTCTGAGCTGCAGGGGTTTGACAGTCATAGAACCCCAGAGTGGTTTAGGTTGAAGAGACCTAAAAGCTCCTCCAGCTTCAACCCCTGCCACGGGCAGGGACACCTTGCCC